AATCCTGGCATCTGGTATTAGCAGGAAGCTGGACAGGAACTGGATATAGGATGTGGCTAACATAATTGGAAGGTTAAAATGAAATTCTTTGTTGCTATAATTTTGATATGAATCACTTTTTCATGTTCTCTTATTCTTGTTCTCTTTGGATTTCTTTTTTTTTTTTTTCTTTTAAGGTTCATCTATTGAGTTTTTCCATGCAGTACAAATCATTAAACAGGAAAAATGATAATCTTTCATTTACAATTTGATATTACGGCCATAAATGAGCAGAGTTGAAAGTGTTCCCTCAACTCATTGATCTGATGACATTAACAATCAGTTACAGGGATCCGTGTCATTTCAAGATGTGACTGTGGACTTTACTCAGGAGGAGTGGCAGCACCTAGATCCTGCTCAGAAGACCCTCTACACGGATGTGATGTTGGAAAATTACGGCCACCTCATCTCTGTGGGTAAGAAGAGCCCCTAAAACTGTCAGTACCACACTCATTTCCTCTCACAGTACCTAAGAATGCGTAATCTTGAATTAGAGGGATACAGGACATGAATTCTCCTCTTCCCACACTGGGGTCTGTTAAACACCATCAGATTACCGTCCCCACATCCCGGGTCCTGCTGTAATCTGACAACAAGGAACAGCCCCTCCCGTTCCCTTACAGTGGACACAGGAAAAAAAAGATCCTGGAACATTTGTCCCACCCAACTTCCTCCATACCGAGACCCTTTCCCTGCTGGAGACTCACATGGCCATACACCCCTCTCACTATGTAAAAAATACTGGAAAAAAAAGAAAGACTGTGTCTTAACTTCCCTTATGCAAGTTGTTATCTTTATGTTACCAAAAAATCAGATCAGTGTTGGGGCCCGATGCAGTAGCCTAGTGCCTAAATCCTTACCTGGCAACCACCAGGATCCCATATGGTCTCTGGTTCGTGTCCTGGCTCCTCCACTCCCCCCCTTCCAGCACCCTGCTTGTGGCCTGGGAAAGCAATACAGGATGGTCCAAAGTGTTGGGACCCTGCAACCATGTGGGAGACCTGGAAGATGCTCCTGGCTCCTGGCTTTGGATCAGCTAAGCTCCAACTGTTGCGGCCACTTGTGGAGTGAGCCAGTACATGGAATATCTTTCCTTCCATCTGTAAATATGCCTTTCCAATTAAATTAAAAAATCTTTTACAAAAATTAGCATAGTAGTTTGCAGTAACTAAACAGAACACCTTAGTCATTTTGTGAAGATGCGAAGCAAACTAACTTCAGTCAAGTCTTCTTTCCCCTGTCAGGGTGTCACATGAGCAAGCCTGACGTGATCCTCAAATTGGAACGAGGAGAAGAACCGTGGGCGTCTTCTGCAGGTCACTCCTGCTTAGGTGAGTTTCTGGTTGCCCAGCAGATCATATCTAATGAATGCCTTAAAGAGGCTGAGGTTGGTACCTTTGAAATGTTTTAGGAGGGTCTATTTAAATCACCTTTATAACCACAAAACTTAAAACTAGATTCATTCTCCCCATATACATTCTTTTCTAGTTTGCATGGTGTTGCCACAGTCTAAAAGTAGGCTTCAGGAGCCACGATTTCTGATGCTGGCATGCCATGTGGGTGCCAGTTTGGCTCACAGCTGCTCCATTTCTGATTCAGTTCCTACAAATGACCTGGAAAAACTACCTCCTCACACACATATACACCCCCCTCTCGAATAAGACTAATTTTGGGGCCCAGAGCATTAGCCTAGTGATTTAAGTCCTCCTCTTGCATGCCCAAGATCCCATATGGGTACCAGTTTGTATCCCTGCTGCTCTATTTTACATCCAGCTTCCTGCTTGTTGCTTGGAAAAGCAGTAAAGGATGGCCCAAAGCCTTGGGACCCTGCACCTGTGTGGGAGACCCAGAAGAGGCTACTGGCTCCTGGCTCCAGGTCCACTCAGCGCCAGCTATTGTGGCCACATAGCATCTACTGATGGAAGATCTTTCTGTCTTCCTCTCTGTATATCTGACTTTCAAATAAAAATAAATAAATCATAAAAAAAATAATAAATCAAGACTAATTTGGGACTAGTGCTGTAACGTCACCATCATGCCATATAGGTGCCAGTTCTTGTCCTGGCTGTTCTACCTCCGATCAGCTCAGCTGCAGCCAGGGTGGCCATCTGGGGAGTAAACCAGCAAGTGGAAGCTCGCTCTTTGTAAATCAGCCTTTCAAATCAAAATAAAGTTAAAAAAAAAAAAAAACATGTAATTTGATGCCATCTAACATATATATTATGCTTAAGGATTTGTTCCTCCAAAGATATTTTGTTTCAATTTTATTATGTTCAGTAGTTACTTCATTGTGGCACTATGTAGGAAAGATATATTTTTCATCCATTCAGAAAGCATATGATGATTAAGATCCTTTTAGATAAACCTGACTCGTGTTACGATCCTAAATATGCTGTTATAAATGGTTCGAATCGGGATCCCATACGGGTGCCGGTTCTAATCCTGACAGCCCCACTTCCCATCCAGCTCCCTGCTGAGGTTCCTGACTTCAGATTGGCACAGCTCTGGCTATTGTGGCCAGACTTATTTATTTTTATTATTGTGGTCGATTTATTTATTTGTATTGCAAAGATACACACAGAGGAGGTAAGACAGAGAGGAAGATCCCCAAGTGACCACAATGGCCGGTGCTGTGCCGATCCAAAGCCAGGAGCCAGGAACTTCCTCCAGGTCTCCCACACGGGTGCAGGGTCCCAAGGCTTTGGGCCATCCTCGACTGCTTTCCCAGGCCACAAACAGGGAGCTGGATGGGAAGTGGAGCCGCCAGGATTAGAACTGGCACCCATAATGGGATCCTGAGCATTCAAGGAGAAGACTTTAGCCACTAGGCCATCACTCCAAACTCAAAAATAAATAAATCTTTAAAACAAAAAAAGGTTGGATTCTCTAACTCCTATCTATGATACAAACAATAATATAAACTCAGAAATATTCAAAGAAGAACTGTTATTTTCTCTGAGAAAGAACTGCTGCCAAGTTTGTGTTTTTCATGAAATATCTGGCAATAGACAAGACTGTTAAAATTATTCTCTAGACCATTAAGATATTCACAGTTTGGGGCCTGGCACAGTAGGCTAGCGGCTAACGTCCTTGCTTTGCATGCACTGGGATCCCATATGGGCACGGTATCCCAGCAGCCCTGCTTCCCATCCAGCTCTCTGCTTGTGGTCTGGGAAAGCAGTCGAGGACGGCCTAAAGCCTTGGGGCCCTGCACCCGCGTGGGAAACCCAGAGGAAGCTCCTGGCTCCTGGCTTCGGATAGGCACAGCACCGGCCATTGCAGCCGCTTGGGAAGTGAATCAGTGGATGGAAGATCTTCCTCTGTGTCTTCTCTCTGTATATCTGACTTTACAATAAAAATAAATTTTAAATGTTTTAAAAATAAGTAATTAAAAAATCTCAGGAAGTAAGTCAGCAGGTAAAAAGAAATAATTGAATAATTATAGTTGATGATCATCACAGTTTTGTTACTGAAGGATTCTAAAATAACTAATGTAGCACCAATCTGAAATAGCAATTGAATATGTTCTAGTCTGCTTAAAGATTCCTTCTAGAAGTATTTTCATAAGGATTTTCCACCTCATAAAGATTTCTAGCTATTTCTAAATATTAGGAACGTAATTTATACCAAAATAGATTAAGTTGGCAATAATAGCAACATGAAAATTGAAGGTGTGTGGAATGACGAAAACATTTTATCTTGGTAACCTAGGTGTTCTATTTTTATTTATTTATTTATTTATTTTTATTACAAAGTCAGATATACAGAGAGGAGGATCTTCTGTCCCATGATTCACTCCCCAAGTGACCACAAAGGTCAGGGCTGCGCCAATCCGAAGCTGGGAACTAGGAACCTCCTCCAGGTCTCCCACATGGATGCAGGATCCCAAGGTTTTGGGCCGTCCTCAACTGCTTTCCCAGGCCACAAGCAGGGAGCTGGATGGGAAGTGGAGCCGCTGGGATTAGAACCGGCGCCCATATGGGATCCTGGCACGTTCAAGGTGAGGACTTTAGCCGCTAGGCCACAGCGCCGGGCCCAACCTCGGTGTTCTATATGAAAATATAGGCATTCTGTATACTTCAAAAGTAATCCTTCCTTTAATATTTTTCTGGAAAAAAAACACTTCTACAATCTTTTTCTCTATTGTAAAATTTTATGTCTTTTTCCAAATCCACATGTAGAGCATCAATCTGTTTTCCACCTTCCTCTGCTTTACTTTCTACATGAAGTTCTGTTGCAAGATGGAAAAAAGTTTTCAAGGTTCATTATTTTTCACTTGTTTTCCACTGAAGCAACAGTGTGTGGTGTAAGTATAGTGTTTATTTTCCAGGTAGGGAATAATTTGTTCTCAAGATTTGTATGATAATTCTCAACTTGTTATCAATTATTTCCTAGAAGAAAACTGGAAAACTGAAGACTTTTTAGAGGAATTCAAGGAACACAAACATTGTAGATCAATTGTATGCATCAATCGTAAGAAACTAATGAAAGAAAATAATAATGCATATGAAAAACCAAAGTCAATTACTCTAGGCAAAAGCCCTGTTGATTTGAAATGCCTGCCTCCTGAATGTGATCCTCATGGAAAGGTTCTGGAAAGTGTTTCAGAACTGATCAGGAGTCATCTAAGTCCTGCGAGAAGGAGACTTAGTGTGCATAACGGAAATGGGAAATTACTCCTCAGTACCAAACAAGAAAAAACTCATCCTCAAGTCAAATCCCATCATCAGAGTAACAGGACGTTCTGTCCTAATGAAGTTCTTCCGCAGTATCAGAAGACAGGAACTTCAGCTCAGCCCTTTGGATATGGTAGTGAGAAACCGTTCCTTAAAAGGGGAGGCTTAATTACACATAAAGCATACAGAGGGGAAAAATCACCTGCACGCAGTAAAAAGAGAAGAACAGTCAGTATTGATAAAAAACACACATGCTCTGAGTGTGGGAAATCCTTCTGCAGGAAGTCAGTGTTGATTCTGCACCAGGGGATTCACACAGAGGAGAAACCCTACCAGTGCCATCAGTGTGGAAATGCTTTTAGAAGGAAGTCCTATCTCATCGACCATCTGCGGACTCACACAGGAGAGAAACCCTTTGTGTGCAATGAATGTGGCAAGTCTTTCCGCTTAAAGACAGCCCTCACCGACCATCAGAGAACACACACAGGGGAGAAATCCTACGAGTGTCCCCAGTGCAGGAACACCTTCAGACTGAAGTCACACCTCATTCGTCATCAGAGAACTCACACAGGAGAGAAACCATACGAATGTCATGACTGTGGGAAGTCCTTCCGTCAGAAGACAACACTGTCTCTACATCAGAGGATTCACACCGGAGAGAAACCCTATGTGTGTAATGAATGTGGCAAGTCTTTTCACCAAAAGGCAAACCTTACTGTCCACCAGAGAACTCACACAGGGGAGAAGCCATATATTTGTAATGAATGTGGGAAGTCCTTCTCCCAAAAGACAACCCTAGCTCTTCATGAGAAAACCCATAACGAGGAGAAGCCTTATGTTTGTAATGAATGTGGGAAATCTTTCCGCCAGAAAACAACCCTTGTAGCACATCAGAGAACACACACAGGAGAGAAATCTTACGAATGTCCTCACTGTGGGAAGGCCTTCAGAATGAAGTCATACCTCATTGATCACCACAGAACTCACACAGGAGAAAAGCCCTATGAGTGCAACGAATGTGGAAAGTCATTCAGTCAGAAAACAAATCTCAACCTACATCAGAGAATTCACACCGGGGAGAAACCTTACATCTGTAATGAATGTGGGAAGTCCTTTCGCCAGAAAGCAACCCTCTCTGTTCATCAGAAAATACATACAGGGCAGAAGTCCTATGCATGTCTTCAGTGTGGGAAAGCGTTCAGTAGGAAGTCATATCTCATTCATCACCAAAGAACTCACACGGGAGAGAAACCATATAAATGCAATGAATGTGGAAAGTGCTTCCGCCAAAAGACAAATCTCATTGTACATCAGAGAACTCACACAGGTGAGAAGCCCTATGTTTGTAACGAGTGTGGAAAGTCTTTCAGTTATAAGAGAAATCTCATTGTCCACCAGAGAACTCACAAGACAGAAAACACTGAATTGCAATAAATGATGTCATTTATTTGTTATGTCTTCCCAAGTTATTGTTAACCTTTAGGTGTTCTTTTTTTTTTTTTTAAGGAAGCATGGTTTACGTGTATATGTAATGTAATCATGATTACTGAAGTAACATACCACATGACTGTTCTTTACCAGCATATGAAATGGAGGGAATCATTGTTACAACATGAACTCTGTCAGCTATGGAGCTATGTTTTTTAAAGTTTTTATAAAAGACATATAGAGGACAATTAAAAAATGGTTACAAGTATCCGTCTCCATAAGAGAAAGAAAGTTTCTCTGAGTTCTATTTCTCATTGTACTCTGTGTAACAAAGAGTAATTAGTTTACAACTTCCCTGGCTTATGATGTCCTACCTTTTGCATGTTTTATACATAGACATACATCATGAACTGTGTCTTCAGTCAACATTTTAAAGACAGGTACATTATTGCATGTGGCAGTAGTGTATTCATTTTAATTTTGTATGCTATTCCATTTTAAGAATATATTTCTATTTATCCTATTGCTGGATACTTGTATTTTTATAATTTGCTGTTATAATAAAACTAATGCTATAAATATTTTTTATATTTTAGTTTTTGTGTACTTATTTTTAATGTGCACCTAGCTCTGGATTTGTTCAGTCAAGGGCATACTTTAGTCATTTCAGCTATAGTAGTTACTGTCAAACATAAGTTTCTCAACATGAAACTGCTCCAAATATAATCAATAAAGACAAGTCATTTGTAGTAATTAAAATTGGAAAATTGTAACTTTTTAAAAAAAGAAACCTGGTAATATTAATAATGCAGAAGACTATCCTGGATATATGGACCCAATAAATATAAAAGCCTTTAGGTGTCACTTTATATAGTCACACCTACGTAAAACAAGGTAATTCAGATTGAGAGAAAACCCTATAGTTCTTATGATAGTATAAATACATTTAGCCATAGCCTGTATCTTACTCAATATCAAAAAGAAAAGGATTGGGACCTGGCACAGTGGCCTAGCAGTTAAAGTCCTTGCCTTAAATGTGCCAGCATCCCATTTGGGTGCCAGTTCTAATCCCAGCATCCCCCTTCTGATCTAGCTCCCTGCCTGTGGCCTGGGAAGGCAGTCAGGGACAGCCCAAAGCCTTGGGACTCTGCATCTGCGTGGAACACCTGAAGAAACTCTGGCTCCTGGCTTCAGATTGGCTCAACTCCAGCCAATGCTATCACTTAGGCAATAAATCATCAGATGAAAGATTTTCCTGTCACTCTTGCTCTCTGTATATCTGAATTTGTAATAAAAATAAATCTTTCTTTTTTTTAAAAGATAGATGATTTCCACTTAAAAAAAAATCACTTGGTTCCCTAGAAGGTAGGGAAACTGTGGGAGAGCATTTAAAGAGAGCTTTATAGAAAATGGGCAAGCAGGCCCGGTGCATTGGCCTAGCGGCTAAAGTCCTCACCTTAAACGTGCCAAGATCCCATATGGGCGCCAGTTCTAATCCCGGTGGCTCCACTTCCCATCCAGCTCCCTACTTGTGGCCCGAGAAAGCAGTCGAGGAGAGCCCAAAGCCTTAGGACCCTGCACCTGCGTGGGAGACCCAGAGGAAGCTCCTGGCTCCTGGCTTTGGATTGGCGCAGCTTATGATCTTCCTCTCTGCCTCTCCTCTCTGTATATCTAACTGGCAATAAAAATAAATAAATCTTAAAAAAAAAAAAAAACAAGAAAGAAGAAAGAAAATGGGCAGGCCAGAGTAAGCAGGTAAGTAAGTTTTGAATCAGTCAATTTAAAAAAAAAAATCCCAGTAGGCTGCAGTATGGATGCTGCCCTTAGATGTTTCATAACTGGCCAAGGGAAAGGTGGCCAAGGCTGCTGGGAGGAAGGAAGGGTTCTGGCACATGAAAAGTACATTCTTTTTATTTTTTCAGATTTATTTTGTATTGGAAATATAAAGAGAGGAGGAAAAAAGAAAGATCTTCCGCTCAATGGTTCACTCCCCAAGTGGCCTCAATGGCCAGAGCTGCACCAGTCCAAAGCCAGGAGCTTCTTCCGGGTCTCCCACACAGCTGCAGGGTCCCAAGCTCTTGGGCCGTCCTCGACTGCTTTCCCAGGCACTACGTGTGGAACTGATCATCAAGTTTGGTTTCCTGCACTAAGTGTTCTTTTTACACTTGCTTAAATTCTAGCATTAACATTAATTTTCCCACCTAGTCTATACATGTTTTAAGAACCCATGTAGGTATTTGGCTGCCAGTGCAATTGTCCAATTTTCTGTTTGGGCAGAAAACTCAGATATCATCCTCCTTCGCAAGATTCTTTGTGAAGAGGAGGTTTAAGAGATATATAGCACTATTAATGACTACTATCCTTGGCATTATCGTCATTACTACAACTGCAGCACTTGCAGCGGCTGCATTCCATCAGCCGTCCAGCAATGGCATCAACATTGAGAGGCTGGAACTCACGACGAAAAATTGGTGGACAATTGTATACTGAACTCATGAATCTGGAATTGACCGTGGTGCTCTTGGGAGATCAATTACAATCAAAGACTTTCATTAAAGTGTGACTGGAATTGTACCTCCTTTTGTGTTACCCCCACTCCTTGGAATCAAACTTTGTTCCCTTGGGAGAGTGTAAAACATCATTTGTTGCGCCATGGAAATCTTTCTGGTCAACTATTTGAATTAGAATGAGAAATTAGACCTATATATTCAGAAAAGTTACATGAGGGTTCAGAGTTAAGTCTTTTACCTGACTTTACTGGACATATGTCGTCTATTAGTTTTTACTAACGGCTATTTCATGGGAAAATAGGAAATATTCTGAGTATACTAATATTATGTCTTTTTGCATTATGGCTCTGTTTATGGTAAAAACGGATCCAACAATACCAAGTAATAATGCAATGTTGTTATAGCATCAATATGTTCATGCTTCATAATTCACAAAATGGGGAAATGAAAAGGTTAATTGTAAAGGTGACTGTATTCCAGAAAATCTGGACTTTCCAGAGACTTGCCTGCACCATGTTACAAGAAAACTCTGCTTCTTGAAACACCAGGAAGCAAACAGGAGCGAGGTTTTAAGATCCTGGAGTTTTAAGATTTACGGGAAAGACAGCTACCTTCGAGGCATGCTGTTTTACAACTGTCCGCATTGAAGGGATATGATCGGAATCCCAAGGCTATGCATTGAACATTTTTATTGCCTGCTTTCTGTGCTGTGTTGTGAAAAAGCCCCTCAATTACCTATTTGTCCACTGTCATATGACTATTCAGTCTCACATAGATACTTACTATAAAAACCCTCATTTATTTTGTTTGAGGCACTTCTTGCTCATGGCAAGAGCTGACTGCCCAGCTGGACATTAAAATCATTTCACTTGCCTTGGAATCTTACAAGATTTCTTTCAACCCCACCAATCTTTTAAGTTTTTATTTATTTATTTTGTTGGAAAGTCCACTCTAATTGGTGCTAAAGCCTAGTTCAACCCAACTGACTCCACATATCCAGCCCACACTCATGCTGCCAGGTGCCACTGCCTGTCTATCCAGGCCTGCACCAGCCCAGGTTCTCAGGCTCACCAGTAGGAGTTGCAGGCCATCAGAAAAAGCTGCCCACATTTTCCCTCTCAGGCCCACTCCCAGCCCCAGATCTTGCACTTTCCAAGTGGTACTGTGGTCTAGTCTGACAGAACTTTCCCCCACTCCCAGCACTTGCCAGTTGATGCTGCAGCAAAGCCAAACCAGCCTGCACTTACTCTGGTTCATGCATGCAAAAGTGAATATGGTTGCTTAGCTCAGCCTGGCTCACCCCAAATCCAGTTCACATGCAAGCCAACAGGTGTTGCAGCCCTGCCTGGCCTGGTCTGCCCCAAGTCCCAGCTCTCCTGCTCACCAGCAGGAGCAGTGGTTGGCTTGCCCACTGACCAGGGTCTTATGTGTGCTGGTGGGAGCTACAAGCCAGATTGGCATAGCTCATCTCACCTTGGCATGACCACTGAGTCCAGCAACCTGGCTCAGTCCCTCCTGTCCCCAGTTCCATTATGCCTGGACTGCCCCCACTTCCGGCCCTAATGTAAACTGGCTGGTGTTGTGGCCCAACCTCCACCCCATCCTGATTCTCACATCTGCCAGTGGGTGTTGTGAATTGGCCGAACTTAGTTCGTCCCCAGACCTGACCCACATATATGGCAACTGGTACTGTAACCTGGTTTGGTCTGCGCTGCTCCCAGCCTTGGTTCTTGTACTTGCCTGCAGTAATTGCATTCTGACAGAGAGGAGTTACCTAGGCTCCTCTATCAGGTCACCTCACAGTCACAGATCTCATGTACACCACTGAGTCCTTGGCCCAGCCTGACTTGGCCCACCTCCTGTTCTGGAAGGTACCGTGGTCTTTTCCAACTGGCCCACACTCATTCTGGCTCTTACTGTTGGGTGTTACAGCCCAGTTTGGTCCACCCACAGACTCAGCTCTTGCATGGTTCAGTGAGTATGGAAACGTAGCCTACCTAGCTTGATCTACATCTACCCTGGCTCTTGTGAGCACCAGTAGGTGCTAGAGCCTTGCCCAGTCTGACACACCCCTGACCCAGTCTACACTCATGCCAAGGGATGCTGCAGCTGTGTCCAGCCCAGTTCACTGTCCCTATTCCAGCCTTTGAGCTCACTAGCAGAAACCGAAGCCCAGCTGGGGCATACCCTTTACTCCACACCCAGGCCTGCTCCAAACCAAAGCTCTTGCGAATGCCAGTGGTTGCTCTGACCCACTGAGGTGTATGAGAGCTAAATGGAATATGGGACAGTCTGCAGCACACGATGGCAAGCACAAGAATCATAGCTAGTGGGGTCGGCCTGGTGGGGGTTACTGATGGTTGCTCTGACTAGGCTGCAGTTCCCACGGGTGAACATGAGGACCAAGAGTGTAGTGGAATGGGTTGGTCTA